AGTCTTGTGCAGTAACCCAGTATGCTCGTTGTAAGGAGCACAACGATACCGTGAAGCAACTAACCAACACCTTTCGTAGTAAAGGAGCCCAAATCATCCAGGAGCCCCGCATCCCAGCGGGATCAACATACATCAAACCGGACGTTATCGCCATCAAGAACTCCACAGCACACGTAATGGACGTGGCAATATCCGACACCTACAGAATAATCAATAGCTACTAAGTAAAAATTGACGAATACAGTGTAGGTGCTCATGCGGAAAGCCATAGCCCGCTTTGTGTCCTCGGAATTTCTTACGGCATTAAATATCGTGCATTAATTGATAATCATCAACAACTGGGGTCATATATTCCCAGCCTCCGCCAAACACGTTTCGGCACTGGGGCTCACCAAACTTGGCATATCCGACGTGTGTGTGTCTACCAGGAGAAGATCCCTTCAAGTTTACGAGACCTACATGTGGGGTGCAATGTCACAAAACGTATCACGTTAACACCGCACATTCGCGAGCGATTCCGACCACTTTTTGCGTTTTAAATGACTACTGTTTCAATATTACGCCAGGACATGTCCAATCTCGGTGAATTTATGTACTGACTAGGCCTTGGGCCATGCGTGAATTTTACGAAAATATATGTTCATGGACCGGTCAGGTGGTGCGTGGACTTACCAGAGCACGACGTGGCTCGCGCATAAACGCGAATTTCCCCACTGGATCCGCTTGAATATCGCGCACGCGAACGGGAAACGCCAAACGGTTCTCGCGGAATGCATGGAACTGTAAACTCAGCTGTTCCCCCGATTTGGTCATGGGGAGAAGGTTGCCCGCAGCCTCCAGCCACACAGGTCGACCCTCGGCTACTTCAACTTCGGGTGAGGCGGCGCAGACTTCGAAACCTTCTTGGCATTCCAAAGTCTATGATCGAAAGACCAAAGGATGGGGAACAATTGAAATAAAGAGTCAACCAGGAGATCGCTGTATAAAATAACGTGAAGAAGTGAAAAGGTACGCACGGTTAGCATACTTTTGGGTAACTTATTGCTAAGCTACTTATGTTTCTACTTCCAGTGACGGCAAAAACAGAAGAAAACTCATGGTTGCTTATACGGCATTGTTTCAAAACCCAATAACACATACTTATCCTGCACTTCTGAGTGAGCAAGTGGGCTGACATCATGGAACATTCACAGACCCATGACAGACCATGGCGCATCTGCTGGGGACAGAGTATGCTTTATCAATTTTAGGCAACAGGTTGCGCTGCTGAATAGCAAAGTAGTGTTGTAGTCCAGCTAAGTGAAAATTCGAATTCAAGTTTCAAGAAATTTTCTCCGTTCATCGCTAGACGAAAGCTGACAACCTGCAAAATGTGAAGTGAAAACTACCCGATTAAGAGAAAATCACTAACTTACCATTTCGGGTCACATTTTCGGACTCACATGAAACCTACAATCATCAAACGGTGACTCAGGCTACTCTATAGCATTTCCCGTAAAGTTGCAAAGTGGTCACTTTCAACACATTCACCTCAAGGTTCCAAGCGCATATTAGTTTGCATCGAAAGCTTGTGTGCTCTTTACCGTTGCGGAGAAACAACAGTTTTGGGCAACGTGTAATCCACGTCGATGCAATGTTTCACGTATACAACATACGAACATACCGTCCGTTGATGGGCCACTTGGCACTGTGGATAGTGGCAACTACTTTGCCACCCGAGGGGGTGGTAACATTATCACTCTTACTGTGGGCAATATAGGCGCGTGAAGGCCAAACGATCGGTAAAGGGCACACTAGCTTTCGATGCAAACTAATATGCGCTTGGGACCTTGAGATGAATGTGTTGAAAGTGACCACTATGGAACAAATAAGAGGAGCACTGGGAAGAACGTTTGCACAAGTGTGACACATGGCGCAAATGTGTTGTTGATCATACAGAGTAACATTAAAATAATCAATCCACAGCTTGTCCGGATAATTTGCCATTCATATTTGGTATCTAACATACGACGGTAATAAAAAGGCCGCCCCGTGTCACGTGCCGCCCTGGCCGGACCGCCTACGCGCCCCCATACTGCGCCTCTGTAAACGAAACAACTAAACGTATTCAAAGCGGATTAGTCGTCTCTTCGTCTACATAATGCAATCCCCCGTCATTAAGAACGATCACGTGTTGGGAGTCCAGCAACGACACCATAGCTCAATCATCGATAATTGCTCATCCAAACTCAACCGAGTGCACTGAAAACCAAAGCGCTTACACCGGAGATGCATCACCAGGTCAACAACAATGTAGAGGACGTTCCTGATGTAAAGCGCTTGGTTGAATGTGCCCGTGAAATTGTAGTCGATAGCAATTAAGGACGTAAGGTAATCGCTCATGTTCCCGAGAACAACACTGGAACTAAGTTTCGACGGATCGCTCGCCTAATGCCATGTGTGTCATGGCGAGAGTACCCAGGGCTTCCGTATCCGGGCGCACATTGGGTCATCAAAGATCCAGGGGATTGAAAGGCGAAACAGATACTTGGTAGGCGGCTAGACCGTTTCATATCAACCACCTACTAGGAGTCCGACGTGGATGGAGAGTGCGCCTGATTTATTTCTCGTGATTAGCTGCACGGTGTAGTCACAGCTCGCGATGGGGGACGGAGCCTGAGGTGTGTGGATGGATGACGATAACACCCACGAGATATGATTGCAACAGATGTCCGGCTATAACCGTATCATTTACCCACGTGGAATTGGGATGAAGCGAAATAACAACTTTCAGTTGCACATGGCAAATGCCATATGAACGCACGGATTGGTTTCCGTCATGCGGAGCCACTCATCCCTGTGCAGACGTTACAACCCGACGAGTAAATGTGATTCGCCGAAGCGAGTACATTTTATTTGCAGCTTCAAAGCATCCTCTCACCGCAACCCTGTGATGTGTTCGAATACAGTCCACAACTGAAAAATACCCGTCGGGAAATATTCCCCTAAAGAGCGTGATAAACATTAGTTGTGCTTGTCCTACATGCTCTGCGTCTCCGCATACAGCGTCCAGCCGCCTGCGTCGGTGTAACGGATTAAGCAATCCGGCAAACGGCCATACACACTACCCATGTACGTCAAGTCTGCATAGTTCAATGTTCGTATTTATTATGCCCTTATCAAAGTCCTTATCCACTGGCTCTCCAAACACAATCAACGACAGGCGGTAGAACATAATTGCTTGTTACACAACCGTGTTAGAGTGGCATCTGTTTGTCAAGCTCCCACATGATTGTTCTACAACGCGGCAACTAAAAGGGGTGTGCGACTCGACTACAGGCACCAACTTACAGGAAATCCACGATATTCCCCCGATTAGAGAACTGGCTATTTCCAGCAGAGTATAAAGTGCACTCTGACTCGTCATCATAATAATGTAAGAACAGCACTCGCTTAGAACAGGTAGTTTACTGCCAACAGGATGTTTTACAGATCGGCCAAATGAACAACACGTCCATAATTCTTACTGACATGTGGAACCATTTGTTGGCAGTGCTGCTGTGTCACTAAGGCCCGTGTTTCAGACACCGCCTGCTCCAAAAGACGAATCCTCCACTCGCTTTTATTCATAATGCCTTCAGGATCCCCCAGGAGCATCTCGGAGTATCGTCCCCTCATTGCCTGTTTTACATGAGCCTTTATTATACTCCAGATGCCCTCCATAGGATTCAGAGCTGGTGAGTATGGCGCAAGGCGTAGAAGCGGTACGGTTCTTCCAGGAAAACGTGCTCCAGGTACGTGTGACAGGGTGCGTTGTCACAAATCAAGACACCTTCCCACAAACCCTGCTCCGTTGGTATCAAGCACTTGTCGCAACCACTGAGCGCACCTTTGCTTGTTGTAACTTCCTCTCAGAACCGAACACGCTATCAAGCCGTTGTTTGTCATGGCGCCGACAAGATGAACACTCGAGCCCCGGCTGTTCGCCACTGTACACTGTGCTCGATTGCCACGTCGTGAGCGGCCACGAGTGCGGGAGCAAAATAAGTTGAAATTGGCCTCATCAATCCACGCTGCTTGACTTCCTTCCACCTCGTAATCCATGAGCTGCAAAACGAATGACCTGCGTCGCTTTTTGTTCTCCATCGTGTTCATGGACTCCGGAATGGTGTGTAATTTCTTCATTGTTATAAATCTACCATCCAAGTATCGTGAGACGGTGCTGGTACTTACTGAAAGTCTGAACTCCGTATTCAACCGCAAACGAAGGAGTTCAAGGGTAACGGTAGGCTCCGCAGAAACCCACACCCCCAGAGAGTTGACGTTGCTTTCTCCCAGTGCTTTGCGACAGACTCCCCCGTGCTGCCCCCCCCCCCCGGTTCCGTCGATTCGTACGCCCGTATCCAGTTGCGGCAAGTTTTCACGTTCACCTTCAGTATGCAAGCGATCTGCTTCCAATCGTCACCTTCCTCGTACGCTTTCAGTACGACGTTCCTCACCTCCCTCGAGTGCCGAACATACAAGCCAACCATTGCGTTTAGGTGGACTGCACATTCAAAAGCATACGGCAAACTTATTTGGCTGTGGCTCGTTATACCAACCCAATCGGTATTCAAATCCCTACTCTCGTTCTAATTGGTGGGAATCGCTTCCTAGGACAGCGAAACAAAGGCCAACCTGGTGCATCGGCGAGCGACACTGTCCCTTGTAGGAGCTGAAGCGTCCCACCTGCACCCCTATGACTTAGTGCGTCTGAGGTCCAATTGGCTGAAGGCGAGGGGCCATACACGCACACCTACACACCTGCACAAGTAAGTGGCGTGCGCACGGCTCAAATTAATTGAGTAGACTCATGTTGTATGCCTCAGCGCAAATCCTTGGCCGTTCAGATTAATTCTGTTGCCCAAGAGGACAAGTTGGCCGAGAAATGTATAGAAACTTTGTTTCTCTATGCTCATTCCTCGACATTTGTTTTGACGCGTCATTACGTTAGTTGGAAGAGCGGCTAATGGTGATTGTTTTGGCAACAGGTCACAGCTTTTCCCTGGCATTGACGCTAACTAATCGTTCGATTATTGAGTTTGACTGGTACTTGACCTATTCACATCTAATTGGTTTGCGCATTTTGTTGTTTTCTGTGCTGTAGATGGGTTCAATAATTACTCTTTTCGGTGCGTCAATTTGCCTCAAGGTTATATGGACATTGTAGCTGTCTGATGCGGACACCTATTTGTGTCCGTATTGTTCGCTCACTACATTGAGGAATGGAATAAGTTTATGGGGCCAACATAATGAGCGGCATCCTTGTGTGGGCACCAGGGAAAAAAAGGATAGACATGAAAAAAACCGTCGAAAAAAGCAGTATGTCAGCTCACCTTGTCCACTCTGTCATCGGTGACGCAGAGGCATCGAATCAGCGCTTCGTCAACATCTATGCGCTTGGCGAAGATGACTAGCTTTCCCATGTACGACACGAGACATGCCTCCCGATACAAATGACCGGCCATTTCAGTTGACTCGTGAATAGACTGGCAGTCCATGAGCCAAAATCTGACCAAATAAGCACAACACGGAAGTCACTAATGAGCAGCGACTCAACAAAAGCAATCAATTTTGTTGAATGCATCACGGCAACCCCCAAGCCATACTCTTACCGCGAATCCGCAAAAGCATCAGACAACGGTTTCGCCTTAATTCATGACCGCTGGCAGCTTGCGCCACTAGCCAGAAGCCACAGGTATGAACGATAGCAGCAGACCGTTACGGTTTGTAATCTTACTTGGATATGTAGTAATGTAATAAGCAGCGCATGTAGCTTAGTTTGCTGCTTCGTAGTGAAGAAGACAAAAATGTGTGATGACAAGAACATTCTACCCATCATGAGGAGTGATTTCCGAAATAGTTTTAATGGACCAGTACATGCGGTTACTCCAGAACTGGCATGATTGCAGAGCGGTGTGAAGACTACACATCGGGTAACCTACAATGGTCTGAACATGTGTCGAACTGTTAGAGTAGACCAACCCCAGTAAAGGAAAAGCACAAGGCGAGTACGTGGCCAGCTGGAGTCGTGGAAACGGAAACGTTAGTCACATGGCCATTACTGACGCGGTCGTGATAGCAGACGGGAAAAGCGCAGACGAACACGAAAATACGAAAGAAAAATGCGTCAGAAAATAAGCGTCCCTGATTCCGGGACTGCGACATATTCGATAAGAGATTTGTTCCAAAATCTGATTTCGGAAACAAACGACCGGCCTAACAATGGAAAATTAGAAAAAGTAGAAGGTTTGGCATGCAACTCCTTTCATCAATTGTCGTTCGGCGGCAGCTTAGCATAACGAAGCTGTCAGACCAGTGGGTTTCATCCATTGGTTCAGCTAACTTAGCATCGGGGTGACCCTCTGTAACGCAGCCAAACGATAATAAGTCAGTGGGATCAGCGTAAACGGATGGTTTTGCCTAATGTGTCCAATAGCTGGGCATGTTAGGCTTTATTCCAATTGGTTGCCCGGTCCGTCCCTCAGATCCACTCCAATGGCACACCCCAGTACACAGGACTTTACCATTGACAGGGCGGATTTCATGACTTTCATCTAGGAAAACGTGAGGCGACTGCCTGATCAAGACATTGAGTCTACTGTTCCATCTGCCGACGCCATGTCCTCGATCGGAGACCATTAAGTCCACCCAACCAGCTGTAGTGAAGGCAGAGAAATGCACGCCAGGTCAGCGGATGTGGGAAAAATAGGAATGACCTGACCAGTGTGAGCGGAGACACTGAAAGATGATCAAGCGCAGTGCTAAAGGGACCAACATGAGTTGTGCACTCGACGTGTGAGCAATGGAGTAGATACAAGGGTCAAAAAAGACCATTCTCCTGAGATAACCGCGATACTGTTTGGCGCTTTTCAGTCATTCCCTATGGCCTGTGCACCACAACCCGCGTTGCCATGACAAATAACGTAAAATAGTAGGAAATAAGGGGAAGCGAAAAACAATACAACAAGATATGTCAACTTGATGGCATAGACAACGGGAAAAATTCAACTACGATGGGCGTTCCCATGAAGTCAATAACCATATACTACTATCGAATAGTTAGTAGTCATGTAAAGCTGCGTAATATGCCGCAGGGTAATTGGCGGCTAGAGTCGGGAAGCCATAGCAAAAACTCATCCCATATTCCGCAAGTTAGTAACGCGTATAGGTGGACGATTAGTCACACTATATCGCAGCCAGCAAAAAGTGATGGTCGGCCACCGTCACCCAGTGGCTCAGTAGCTCAAGTCGCTGGCTCTTGAGAGGGGTCTACATCAGCCATTCTCAACGGGGGCCATAGGGAATTCCCGGGGGACCCTGGGATGAGAAAATTGTTTAGGGTGGCCATGAAGGACCGTGGGGGGCCGTGTTATGAAAAGCGGGTTGTGATAACACATAACAAAAATCATTTAAAAATAATTTTCTGTTACTGCGCATTAATCCCCACCGGTCAGTGAAATGAATTACGCGAGCGTACGTGCTTGTTTACGGTGTGTAAGCCAGGCCTAGCGGACTTTCTGTAGCGGAGCTGGCATAGCTCCGCCAAACTTGCACAGATTTCGCCGGGATCACCACACGGTGACTTAGAGTGCGCAACTAACACCTAATTCGTCTTCAGCACGTTGAAGCCTATCCACGGTGAACCAATTGTGCTTTACTCAGAACACTGATGCCTCTATTGTGCAAGCTGCAATGAATCTAGCGTCCCCTCGTCATAACGCTGCGACAGTTACGGCACAAAGCCACATTGAAGCTAACTGAGTTTTCCTCAGGACACTACCACTGTGTGACACTCATGTGCCATTCAGTCTTCCTCGTTCGGGTTTTACTGCGGTGGCGCTAGGTTACGCGTTTGTCGTCTCCTGTCTCAGCTGGCAGTGTTCCACCAGTCTGTATTTCTAATGATTATAAGGGGTTTATAAAATTACTGATGTGAAGACGCATTTAACTAACATTTAAAATGGTGGCAACTAGTGCCTTAGCTCGTGTGTACCTGGCCACTGTCACGTTAGCCCGCAATTTTCTGAATTCGAGTGGCTACTCTGTGCGCGTGGGGTACTATATTACGGGAGGATATCCAATTGCTTTGGTGAGTATTTATAACATAATGTGTACATAAGGATGCTTCTCTTTATAATTATAATAATGAAGTGCCTTGCCAGCGCGCATTTGGCGCCGTGTTTGGCAATAGCTGATGTACCTTATCCGCTTCGTTGTTGACACGCCCAGGCCGGTTCCTTAAACTAATCGGCATTTGCTTCCATGTTTATCTCTTCTGTCCTTCATTTTACCTGCTACCACTGTTTGTCACAAGTTGTCTGTAATGTATGTGCTTCTAGTGAGCACTGTTATTTTCTGAGTTGCATTTATTTTCATCATTGGCTTATCGTGTTGTACCAACTTTTCTAATAATTGTAAATGCCTGAGGAGAATTATCGAAAAGAGATATCTTCACAGCAACTCCTTTTTTTGTCAAGTAGTTTCCTGTCATTTTAGCCATCCACGGTATTTTCAAGACATACTCATAAACCACAGTAAACACCTATATATATATATATATATATATATATATATATATATATATATATATATATATATATATATATATATATATATATATATACATTGTAGCAGCCAACAGATGTTTCAAGTACGGTTGTTAAACCACTATTATTATAATATCGCGGTCAAACAAGAAATTTAGTGCCACCAGTTATTAATACTACCTGCGTGTTTCGCCTTGTCGAATGATGTTATGCACATGATATAATTGTGTAAGAATATTAAAACAAAAGCAGTATACGTATACTACATAGTAGAAATTTCTCATGACATAGTTCAGAAATGGTCTCCTGCGCAACGAATACGTTTCGGCAGTACTCCGTAGAATACCAGTCATTTGGATTCATCGCAGCACATCTAAACCCCACTCTACCTATATGTTCAGTTTGCCATTACACTGTCAAATGAAAGTATGCGATCACATAAATTGGGAAATCATTTGGGAAGTAGTGATAAAGGCAAAGGCGGAAAGTCTGTGGATTTTTTTTAGAAGGCTGCGGAATAGCTTCGAAAACATACCAAGTTTAAAGACAATAGTTTCTGACAGGGCAAAAATAGCTAATGGACTTACGGCATCTTATAAAATCAGCAAATTGATTGCTAAAAATTGCAGTTCACATAATGTTGGAGAAAATATTATCTTGCCTTCAGTATCAATAATACTGCCTGATCTGATGTATATGAATCCACAAGAAGCACTTTAAGCCATTCTACTCAGCAACTCCACTGTGTCTAGGCGAATAGATGTGCTGGCTCGTAACATACAAAGTACCTTAGTTACCTTACTACAGTCCAGCAAATTTTCATCACTAGTAGATTAATCTAGGTTCTCACGGCATATATACGATTTTTCAACGATGATGTATTAATGGAAGTGATGCTGCTTGTCAGTATATATAAAAAGTATACAAAATATCAGTCTATATTCGAGGTAGTCAATGGTTATCTGCCTGAAAACCATCACAATGTAAAACATATTTGCAGATGCAACAGGCGGTGCTACCGCAATGGTCAGAAGATATAGAGAGAATTCATAGTCCAGTTAGCTTGCAAATTACGTAGCCCAGCCGACGTACGCCATGGCTCAGTTGCTTAAGCTGCTGGCTAGTTGGCATTTGCCGCTAGCGGGCATGGGTTCGATCCCAAAGAGGGGACCGAGGGAATTCGCACCACTGACGAGCCCCAATGGCGCAAAACGCGTTCGGGGCTTCTGCGGGCTAGGCTGTGTTATGTAGCATGTGAGCTCCTGGGAAGAAAACATTACAACATATTAAAAGTGTTCTCCCTTCTGCTCATACAATTCACAGAGAGCACCTAGTGGTTAAGAACGTGGGAAGGTGCTTAAACGATCCACTGTCAACACTTATAATAGTAGTTAACAATATCAATCCGCACCCTTTTCAATGTCGTGTTTTCCAGCAGTTGAGTGAAGAGAACAGTAAAAATTTCCAGGTTCTAGTTTTGCGTACAGAAGTTAGATGGCACTCCAAGAGCAATTGTATTCGCCGTTAGGTTTCACTCTGGGACACCACCATCACATTCTTTCTGGAACTGATTATCAAAGAAAATTGTGTACAACTAAGCGAGATGTGTTTTATCTGGCTGAAGATTTCGAAAACTCCATTTATTGAAGAAAACTCTTCAAGGCAAGTTGAGTAACCTGATCTCGAGCAAACATCCAATTGTCGCTTTTATTAAAAAAAAACTGGAAGTATATGCTCAGAACATTTGACGTCGGGAATTTTCACAGTTCCCGATTAATTGTTTATGCCGGTCATAAACAAAAACTCCGAAAAGCATGGAAAGACAGGTTTCATGACCAGACTGACAAGGAAATCCAGATTTAGATTTTAGATCCATTTGATGCACAACCCTGGAGCTGCAATCCTGAAGAGTCGCATAGAACTTAAGGATGAGACACTAATAAGATCCAAATCCAGGGTACA